TCAGGCATGTAACAATACCTCTTGTATCTCTCGTTTTATTCAAACAAGCAAATTAATATTAGGTCAAATTCAACATCTTCAAGCTATTATTGAGATTGTAGAGAGCTCTACACATGCCTAGAAGCCTATGTGACAAAAATATAGCTTCTTAATGATACTTGAAACAGAGTATCTATGTAACAGATGCATTCCACATTATCGTTGCTCGTATAGGCAAATTCTCGTTGCAATAGCCATAGATACTTGCAGTTTTACTTAGGTTCCAATCATCACTCAACTAAATCCACACTTGTCGAAGAAGCTTGTATCTTGCATTTGAAGTCGCTGTACTAGTAAAGTCACTCACTTTGTCGACGATTGATGTAAGAGGAGAGTCTAGTTCCTCAAGCTCCTCGTCGCTCGTGTACCCTTTTCTCTGTATCATAGACACATTCCTTGACAATTTTCCTGAAGCCTCTGCAACTTTTTCCGCTACATCCATGGTCGATGGAAATACATAAGATACAGAGGAAGCTGCATAAGGGACGCTTGCTTCTGATAACCTTTCATCACCAATGCTCTGGAAATATAACAAAGCCATATGTTTTAATTTTTACTTTATGGATTATGAGAAGAAAGAGAATCCAAAATTTTGAATTATTTTTACCTCGGCGGCGTTAAGCTCTTCTAAGACAGCTCCGGGTACATGATCTGGACAGAACTCATCAGGAGTGAAGTTGCAGAGTATTCTTTTGATGAGTGGAAGACTGATTGATGGGCATATCTGTTTGTAAAACCAATAAACCAAGGAAAAATCTCGATGAAGCTCGTGAATGTGATGGGATTAACCAAGAAACAAACTGAGATATATATATCAAACATACCTCTTCTCTAATGGATCTTTCCATAAGCATGTCTTTTGGGAGCATAAGAAGATCGCTAAGTTCATTTAGCAAAACAAAGGCTTTACGATCACCGCTTTCACTTTCTGCGTGATCATCTTCGCTGTTTCGTTTATCTTTGGTTAGAGAATCCTCAGAGTTCATGCCAAACATTTCAGTGAGGCATCTAGACCAATTGCCGATCTGCAAGGGAAATGTTGCATCATTTAGATTGATCTATGCACTCTCTAACGGCTATGAAAATCAGAACTTTGTTTCGTATTGGTTACCGCGTTTTTAAGTTGTGCCCCTGATCCAAAGCTTAAGTCTCCAGCAGGAATAGGCAGGACTTTGGAATCAAGGATAGGATCAGAGACAGGATCAGTTGGAATCTGATGTTCTGACTCGCGCAGAATTGCATTGAACATGGCTACATCGAATCTACCGATACACTTCTCCATAACCTGAATAAAGACAGTAGGAATATCATTCTCATTGTCTTGAACTGAAACTCATAACAAAAAAAAACTGATTACCATTGTAGCCAAGACAGGTAAGCAACCACATTGGTGCCCTGCGCCACGCATAGGACAAAGCCGTTGCAGAGCATCTCGGAAAGCGTTTTTCCATAGGCTAATCGAAAAGGTTCCTTGCTTTTGATCACCCAAGGAAGGTCCCATCAGTTTCCCATTCGATTTACTGACGGATGAGTCGTTTTCAGGGGATTGCATATGAGGAGTAAAGACCTTAAAGAT